ATATTTTAATTTCGTCATTTGGTAAGTATTTTTTATCTTTATTTTTATGTATTTTTATCTTTATTTTTATGTATTTAATACCAAATTATCTCCTATAGATTTTCCTTTCTCCAAGAATTTGTTTTTATTTTTTGTATCAATTTTTTTTTTTTTTTTTCCATTATTTCCTCATCTTCACTCTCGTAATTTTCTATCTATTCTCAAATCTCAATACAAAAGCATTGTTTCTTATACGTCCCTCCATAATTATATAATTTTTCTCTTGTCATCTCTATATAGGTCACCTCTCGATCGATCTTCTGTCATATTCAGTTTAGTTTATTTAATTTCCTAATCATTGTCGCCGACTACCAAATCTCCAATTAGCAGATATGGTTCAAGAATGGTTGTTGACAACTCCTAATGATGGGTCGAAGTAGGTTGAAGGACCGAGCCAAGGTTGATGTCAATCTAGACGTGGCCAATTGTCGAGCCGCGAACAGGCTCGGCCCGCCGGGTCGGTGGGCCTCTATCTCATGGCCCGTGACCGGCCCACTCATTTACATGGGCCGGTTCGAACCGTCAGTTCACCGACCCGACGGGTTTCGGGTGTTCTGGACCATCACGACCCTTAAAAAAAAGAAACACTATGGCATTTGGGTTTTTAAATGACAACTAAAAATTAAATTTTTTTATAATGATTTCAAATTAAAAGTTTGAAATGTAAGAGTCCTATGTTGAATAGTGAAATATATATGAATCCAGTTCTATTATATCTTTATATTTTTGGGTATTTGACATATAAATTTAAGTGGTTAGAATTAAATTATAATTAAATAAAAAATTGCTTACAAAAGTATAAGCTTAAAATTAAATTACGACTTATCTTATTGTATTTTTGTTGTTTGTCATTTATTTTTAGTATATTCGCTTTATCATTTAAATATTTATATTATAATATTTACTTTAAAATTTGTATGAAATAATTTTTAGATGTTATTTTGAGTTCATTCAAATGTTGTGATAATTTTTAAAATCAACCATACAGTTTTATTATATGCAATAATATATATAATATTTCTATAAAAATACATTTTTTACACTCAAATAGCTTATGCAACGTGCAACGCTATTTACGCTACAAAGTATAAAGACCAAAATGCGACGTTACGCTATAAGCATTATAAAACACTGGACATGACAAAACAGTTGCATCAACAACTTCTTCTACAAATCCAAACACTGTAGGGTAAATTCATGAGAAAATTACTTAGCCTACGACCGTATGGGTCTTATATTTAATTAAAACGAAGCCATGATTTTTATTTGCAATCTTACGAATTCTAGTATATATTGTGTACATGAAAGTAAGAGAAGAAACGGTCTCCTATTTTTCACAATAATTTATTAAGTTAGAGGTTGAGGTATTTATGGTGAGTGGAGGATTTAGTGCAATTTTATAGGAAGAGACAATTTCCTATTCTTCTCCTTCCTCTCTCTCTCTCTCTCTGCGTTTTTTTTTTTCTCTCTTCTTCTATGTGTTTTTTTTTTTTTGATCGATGGAAGACGGCGAATTGAAGAGGCTCGTCAGATCCAAAGTTTGAATAGGCTCCTCAGATCAGCGAATTAAAGAGGCTCGTGGGGGATAACTATGTGAAATCGCTCCCAACAAACTTTCAGAAATCTTGTTCGTCCAATTGAAGAGGCTCGTCAGATCGGAAAAGAGAGTCAAGGTCAAGAACTCGTACAAGATTCCGGCCTCCGCGAAAATATAGATTGGTTCAAAAAAAGTTGCACTTCGACCAAAAAATGAAATCGAAGGACACCCGGATATCACCTAAAAAAAAGACATGAAAAGGCCAATTCCACATCCGATTCGGGCCAATTTCAGTCGGACCCAGCGACAACAATAAAAAAATTTCACGCGAACACCTTAAAAAATAGGACGGTGCATATACTGTGTATGTTGTGTATATGTTATGCGTATGTACTGTGTGTGTTGTGTACTGTGTATATGTTATGTATATGTTATGTTTATGTTATTTTTATGTTTATGTTATGTATATGTTATGTTTCTGTTTATCTTTGTATAATATCAATAGTAATTGATTTTGTGTTTATGTTATGTATATGTTCTGTTTCTGTTTATCTTGGTATAATATCAATAGTGATTGATTTTGTGTTTATGTTATGTATATGTTCTGTTTGTTTATCTTGGTATAATATCAACGACACATTAAAATATTATTCCTATGTATATGAATATATAACAAAAGAAACATAAAGTTGATCGCTTTGTTGTTCGAACATTTGTGTTTTCTATTTTGATAGTTAAAAAAAATATATTTTTCACTCGTCTGTTTAATTCCTTCTGCAAAAACTGATATTATGAAACTCATTCTTCCATCCCATATATAGATTTTTTCTTTAATTATATAAAAATATCACCAGTTACATTTTGATTGGAAAGAGAGCGTTTAATTTGGTATTGGATTTAGTATCAACATAATCATAATTAATTCTCTTTAATATCGTATACCTACTAATAATTGTAAACGGTTCGTATATTTACAAAAACTTATGTAAGGTGGAGTGTATGTGTAAATTAGCCTAAATTCATACCTGTCTGGCCCATCCCGGGGTCCAAGCCCATAGATCAACATACGCTCACATCGACTACGCGCATGCTCGAATATGATCAGTGCCCACGCTGACAGGGTCGACTCTTCCCCATTGTAGATGCCCTACGAGTATTGACTATTTCGTGCATCTAACTCTGCCCATCACCAATTTAGAACAGACAAAATTCCACTTACAGTCAATAACGAAAAAACTGTATGGCGAGACATGATACTACTACACGTTTTTATCACTAGCACAAGTATTGGACTACGGTCATATCCAAGAAACACGATCTTCATCCAGACCAGATATCTCTGCATATTTTACAAATTGACACATCATCTTCATATAATTCAGACAACACAGACTGTACAAAATCCAAACATAGAAACCAAATAATCCCAACTGACCATTCTGATCAAGCTTTCCCATAACAATGAGATAACATATCATAAGAAAATACACATCAATTTCATTTTTCTCAGCTTTCCCTATCATCAGACACATCATCATCTCATATGATGTTTTAGATTTGCGATGTGTAGTCTTATCCTGAAAATTTCCAGTCAACCTGACGAAACTGAGTTTGGATAAGCTATTTGAATGGCAAAAAACGTAAATAACCAGTTTACAAAATGTGCAGAGCAACTGAAAACACATATCAATATAGATCATAAAAAAAAACATAATTCGAAGAAAGTGAGGCAGTGGCTAAACCTAAGAGAGAGAGAGAGAGAGAGAGAGAGAGAGATTCTCATACGGCCGACAAAGATTGCTAAGGCAAAATTCAATGAGGGAGAATTTACAGTACAATTTTTACTGAAAAGCAAGCTGGCAAGCCGCAGATTGTCTCTCAAACAATGATATTCTCTGGAGAGCTTCATGTCTTTTCTCCAGATTACAGCATGATTTAGTATCTATGTCCACCCTCCTCAAGACTTTAGCATTCTTCAATATATATCTTACCATATTAAACTCTCTCTCCGAACACTCAAATTGATGAATCCATACTGTTCTAAGATGTGATAACAAGCACACTGGTACATGTTTGGGCTCAATCCAACATCCGTAATCACCAAATTCCTGAAAGTAACAGAAAAGGGAAAGAGTCAACACAGATATAAGAAAGGGAAAAAAAAACATTGAATAGAAAATAAAAGGAAGCTGAGAAAACGTACAGGAATGATTGTGATCATTTGCAGATTTTCAGCATTTTCAAGGAAAAATGAGATAAAACGAAAATCAGAAAACAATCTGAGTTTGGTTAAATTAGGGAACTTTATAGCCATTGCATGAAATGCTGAGTTGGGAACCTGCAAAACAAAATGCATCCAACACAGGTGATTTAAGATCACAAAAACAGAAGTGGGGCTTACAGCTTAAAAAAAAAGCACAAACAAAAATAAAAGAAAAGAAAAATGGTAGTTATATGGTAGTTACCTCCATCCAGGGAGTACTCAATGTAAGACACTTCACATTTTGTAGTTTACGGAGAAATGGTATCATAGAATGAGAAACAATGCTAACATCAGGATCATATACATTCATGCCTATATCTGCTTCGATTAAGGAGTCAAGCACCACAGATGAGAAGTTCTCAGATCTAATATCAGTCAAGTCGATATATCTAACTGCAGGAGTATCTAACTTTGCTCTCAAGACCGTCTCCATCACTGACTCACGGGTTTCCGTCCTGAGTTCAAGCCTAGTTAATGAGGGCGGAGATACAAAACACCCCGACAAAAAATAAGAAAATGACCTCCAAATGATCAACTCCTCAAGCATCGGACAGCCAGCAATCAGATTCTTGAAAGATTCATCAGATTCTGACATAGAAACATACCACATTTGAAGCTTCTTCAGGACAGGCAAACACACACTGCCAGCCAACAGCACGGGACAACAAGACTCGTGAAGACTCAAATCAACAAGGGTTTTGCAAGTAAAGAGGCACATAGGCATTTCGTTGATTACATCAAAATGAAGCCGACAGACATTTCGGTTAACGAGAGTGGCAATCCAAGTCTCCAGCATTTCATCCGATTTGTAAAAGAAAGGTTCGAAATACCGTAAACAAAAATAATCTATGTTCTTCCCTTTGAGCTGTGACATAACCTTGTTGACGATTTCTGGTGAGTCTTTTGCATACCCTAGCCGTTCTAAGTCGGTGATCTCAAAGCTGAAATCTAAAGTGGAGGCGTGAGCCCACAGAAACCTCCACCTTTTCGCCAAGATGCTTGTTTGGACGGATCTCCGAAGTGAAAGGAACGAGAGGATGTGGAGGATGACGTCATCCGGCAGGGCGCTGATCCTATCACTGGGGGCCGCCGTGTTCTTCCGCTCGCCGTCGAAAATCTTCCGGCGACGGCCGGATCGTTTTCTTTTGCTATCCATAGCAAATCGAGGAAAACAACTGAAAATTTGCAGGAAACAGTATCAAACGGTGAATGTGAAGAGCAAATAAGCTAGATCAAAATCAGCTTGATTTGAATTTGGTTTCTTTACCGGCCTTTATTGAAGAAACTCCTCTCGTCTACCCGACTGTTAGGAGCTGAATTTTGGTAGTGATAATCGAATCCCAAATGCGATGATCACAGACTGTTTTTGGTGTTAAATTAAGCTAGGGCTTTTGTTCTCTGCAAACCAGTGAGCAACCACACGGGCGAGGTCTATTATTTTAAGTATCAAACAATGAATGTGGAGCAAATATGCTTCTCTTGCATCGATCATGCCGGGCGGACTCTACATACTTGACGATCCTCCCACAGGATGAAACCGTGGCTCGAACATGATGTTCTAGGGATCGTTCACCATTGTAATATCGTAGTATAAGACTTTTGCCTCTTTCTTTATACCCAAAAAAAAGTGTTACTAAAAACAATTGGGAGAGGTTTATTATTTATTTGTAGGGTGATCGAATTATTGATGTTAATTGATCGGATAATATTTCATCAACAATTTCGAGAAGGTTTTTGTGTATGTTCTACTAAAATCCAAACCCGGCTCCATGGGGAAGCAGTACTTCTTGGGACCCGCCCAGAAAGGCCTGGGTGGGTCGGGCGACACGGCTTACCCCGGAGGCCCGTTCGTCAACCCGTTTGGGTTCAGGAAGGATGAGAAGTTGATGAAGGAGGTTAAGAACGGGATGCTCGCCATGATGGCGATCTTGGGTTACTTTGTACAGGGCCTTGTCACGGGCCTCGGCCAGTTTCAAAACCTGTTGGATCACTTGGCTGACCCGGTTAACAATAACGTGTTGACCAGCCTTAAATTCCATTAACATATCATTGTGTAAGCGAATATTTTTGCAATGCAAACGCTTCGTATTTGTAACGTTCGTCATATTGTACAGAGTAACTGCAAAGTATTATTCTTATTATTTTTGTTATTTGCCTTTGAAGTGATTTTGTACTCATTTGGTTCTGAAAGTTGTAGTTTAGTTTTCAATTTGTACAATATAGCAATGAAAGAACTAGATACATTTAACTAAAACATATTAATCAATCTAGCAATGACTAACTTCGCAACCGTCTGAACGGAGGAGGTCGTTGCTTATGCCAACTAATTTCACAACCGCTTGGACCACCTAAGCGGCGCCTAACTGCTCAAGCATCTAGAAAGGCTGCCTAAACGAAAATCGAGACGCTCGAATGCTGGGAGTCTTGCATTTTAGAACAATGGGTGATCCTTTCTACATGCAGCTATTGAATTTGTTTTTCTGTGAGGAATTTTAATGTAATGTAAAACGATGATTGATTAATTCTTTGATGATAAGGTGAACTGGTTATTAATTGGTTCAAAATTATACTATGATAATACTAAAACAAATGTCTATTGTTTTTAACTGGTTCAAAATTATGTTTACTCCATATTAACCGGTTATTTAACTTTATTTAAAAGAATTAAAAGAATTACAAAAAGGAATAATATGATCAAACACTTGAGCCAACACACATCTCTGATGCCCATCATTATAGACATGACACAACAGTTGCATTAACAATTTTCTTGAGTTATTCTACAAATCTCCCTACCATTGTAGGGCAAATTCATACCTGTGGCCCATAGATCAAAATACGCTCACATAGAGTGTGATGTGAGCGCGTGCGCACGTTTGATCAGTGCCCACATTGACAGGGTCGAACCTTCCCCATTGTAGATAGATGCTCTATGAGTATTTCCTGCATCTAACTTTGCCCATCACCAATTTAGAAAAGAAAAAATCCACTTAAAGTCAAGAATGAAAAAACTGTATGGCGAGACATATGAGACCACTACACGTTTTTATCACTAGCACAAATATTTGACTACGGTCATATCCAAGAAACATGATCCTTCATCCAGACGAGATATCTGCATATTTTACAAACTGACACACTAACTTCATTATGATTCAGACAACCCAACCCCAAACTGTTAACCTTTTGTAAACAGATAGAGTAAATCCGAAGATAGAAACCAAATAATCCCAACTGACCATTCTAATTAACCTTTCCCATAACAATGAGATAACATATCATAAGAAAATACACATCAATTTCTTTTTTTTTCCCTGCTTTCCCTATCATCAGACACACCACCATCTCATATAATCTTTTAGATTTGCGAAGTGTATACTTATCAAGCTTACCCTGAAAATTTTCAGCCAATCTGAGGAAACTGATTAAGGATAAGCTATTTGAATGACAAAAACCGTATATAACCTGTTTACAAATGTGCACAGCAACTGAAAACACACATCAATACAGATCATTAAAAAAAAAGATAATTAGAAGAAACTGAGGCAGTGGCTAAACCTGAGAGAGAGAGAGAGAGAGAGTGAGAGAGAGAGAGAGAGAGAGAGAGAGAGAGGGGAG